AACATTTTGTAATGAACATCCAATAGTAGTTCATGACAACATAAATATTGTAGTAAAGCCGATACACCTCCAATCATTACGTATCTCATTCTATTTATACCTGTAACAAATGCATGAAACTTCATTTGTCCATAATTTCTTCACTCAAGAAATCTATGCTAGCTTAGTATTGTAGTGAACTTCGAAAAAACACCATATGAATCCCTGTATGACAAAACAAAGAAAGACGTAAAATTAAATTAACAACTGTGATATACCCTTGTTTAGAAGGGTTTAATATGAATTCATTTTCGTGAAACTTATATGCAGTATAAAAATTATTGTACATAAAAGTAAAACAAACTTCCTTTCCCATATTTGTCAGGTTCAAAAGATAAAGTGAACATTTGCCTCAGCCAGTAATATTGGGTACTGGTTTTTTTTCTGTTTCTTGGGGGTTGGTGCTAGTAGAACTTTTATTGAAGAAAGCTAAATATTTAGCCAGGTGGAATGGTGAAAAAGATATTGGACCAAATCTGAGAAAAGAGCAAAAAGCAAATACAAAAAGCAGAATGCAAAGATATAACATCCGCACAATGTTTCCCAAGCAAAGATGGGGGATTTAGACAGGACATTATACAACTTTTAGGTTACTAACACCTTACTGTTTACTGCGATGCACAACAAGATAATTGTCATTAGGTTAGGAAAGACTGACCATTGGCCCCAAATTTAAACTTAGTTTAATGTTAGGACTTAGGAACTTATTAACTGTGCTAACCTATCAAGTACTTTATATTAACCCCAAACCTTGTCAACCGCCAAATCATCAGAATCTCGGTATGTTTGGTACAGATTACTGGACCAAACAATACTGATCTAACTTCCGTCAACTACTCATCTTTGTTTTTCATTGAAAACCACTTTTGTAAACTGAATGGAGCATATATCCTCAGATGGATCATTCACAACTCTGACCAAAGGCATGATTGGATCAGTAGAAACAACGCCAGAAAGTTATACAACTCAAATAAGAACAAGTAGTCTGTTGCTTAACTTGGTGAGGACTGGATTTAAACAACTTATAACCATATTATAAAAAAAAAACTTGCAAGTGGTTCTACACATCATCTAAAACAACGGATTTGGCCTAACACGGTTTTTTTTTTTAACTGTGACTGTGATCCGTACTTCGTATAATGCTCATAACCTCTTTGTTTTCTCTACCAACACACACACGTCACTCAAAACATCTCATCTTATCACATTATAAAGGGGTTACACATAGACCCGCTCAATGGGGACCAAAGCCCAGTTTCAAACACAAGGTGAACATTATCCAGTCAAGTTCTTTGCCGTATTCTTGTCACTGTACCAAGCAGTTGGGCATTTTCTTTCTTAACTATATAT